GCCATCTGAGCAGAAGTTCTCTCCCCCTCCCTCCCCACAGTCTTTTGGGACATGTTACAGACCCCAGAAGATTGTAGGACCATTCACAAAGCACAGCGTGGCTCGCACATGCGCAATGGGCTGTGAAGCTGCAAGCAGCATAGCAGGTTGCCAGTTAGGATGCCAGCCCTGGGGACCCAAAGGTGAAGTGAAGTAGTACTCTGGGTGAGGATGGCACTGGATCCCTGGACAGGTAAGTGTCCTTTTTATTAAAAGTCAGCAGCTGACTTTTATTTTTTTGTGAACTTCCTCTTTAAAGTGGATGTAAACCCTTATATATACCCACTGTGATGTACTCAAGTAACTGACCTCAGGTGATACACAGAAATTAATCAAAAATTGCCTACATAAGTTGTACCTGTCTGTCTGCAGTGTTCTCTACAGTCATTCAAAGTGCTGGATTTTTTAAAGCTTGTCTAAGAACTCAGAAAAAGGGGCTGGAAAGCTGAAAGCACAAACAGCAGAGCTCTGTGAGAAGAGCTCTGACAGCTGATTGGAGGGAAGAGACACCCCCCTTTCCCCTCCACACAGCTCACAGGTGCAGAGACGAAGCTGTCAATCTGATGGAGATCCTCCTCTGTCACCATTTGCCTCTTGGTGTCAGGACATACATCTACATATGTACATCTACATATTCCAACTCTTATCAGACTTGTGACTGTCTGTAATTATAGGACCCTTTTTGGAAACTAACCAGATTAAAAATGGGTGTTTAGTTATGGTAACATTTCCAAGAATTGAAATTATTGGTCTGTTTCAATGGAAAATTTTAATTTTATTGGTTATACTGTGTTTTATAAAAATGCATTTACACCTTTTCCAGGATGTACTTTTTTATACTATGCTAATCTGCTAACCTTATATACTTTTTCACATAATAAAATCCTCATCGTAATAACCATATTTGATTGTTCTCACACGTGTTAAAACAAAGTTTCTACTTCTAGTATTAATTGTCATGCTTGGAGTAGAAAGAGAGATCATTTCAAATCCAGTGCCACACACCAGGAATTCATGATGGATATGCTTATAACCTGCCATAGCACACATGTAACATATTTACCCACATGCCCATGCAGGCTTCAGTATGTGGGACGCAGCACGAGAAAACTTTGTGTCCGGCTGGGTGAACATAGTAATATAAAAAGGGTTTCCTCAATCACAATGTGTCTAATTATTTTGGGCTGTGCCATAATAGGGATCCTAATTTGCTCTCTTTTTGTGGCATAGATACTGTAAGGTGTATAGGCCTGGAGGAGCACCAATATGACAAATAGGGTATCAAAAAAAGAAACACGGACTAATGAACTTTTCACTTTAGCCCCAGATAGTCTTAACATTGACATTAATTTAAATTGTTTCCTGTCAAATTATTAACTTGCTCTGGAGATATATGCATTATATTTTTTTCCATAAAGTTTATATTGAGTTCAACAGCATAAAACGAGTGCCAACAGTAGGCACAGTAGCATAAGGTACAGAAAAAGAAAATAGGCAATCAATGACATTAAGCAGGTATGGCAATACCAAAAACAGGCATATCAAGGAACAAGGAATGTTTCGAATACAAAATAAAAAGAGAAGGAAGAGAGTATCAGCACATCCTAGGTCAAAGGTCGGGAGATGGATTAGGAGTAGCTGTAGAACCAGCTCAATAGCAACTGAAACAGAGGCTATCTAGTTATAACCTGGTTCCACGTGCTTACAAGCAAGGAACATTGCCCAACTAAGAACTGACAGTAGTGAAAAGAGAAGCAAAAACTGAGAGAGGAGAAGTTAGAGGACAAAGTAGTAAAAGAGAGAGAAAAGAGAAAGAAGGGAGAAGGAATAAAGAGAGAAAAAAAAAAAAAAAAAGAAAATAATGGGGGGGGGGAGGGATCAGAGGAAAGGATGGGTTGGTAGGGGTATAGGAAAGGACCGACCGCTCACATCATGTTCCGACCCCTGAGTACATCTTCCCAAAGTAAGAGAGGGAAACATAATTCAGTTCCTGTATAAAGGCCATCTAGTGCATATAATGTTTGTACAGCTCCATAGTTTTAAAATTAAACCAACAGGATCAAACAGTTGTGAACCTGTGTATCCGGTCATGGGAAATGGAAATTATCTACTCCATTTCTTCTATTTTATTGATTCCGACGAACTATTGTTTGATTGAAGGAATATTCAGTGCCATTCAGTCAGTTTATAAGTAGCAAACACATGTCCTGTCAATAATTGAGTGGTAAGTACTATTAACATTATGATATTATTGGGGATACACCAAACATATTGGTGAAATATTAAGTGCACTAGACAAAATGTGTTGGGAGGGACTTCCGGCATGTCATTTCTGATTCGCCTGGCACGCAAAGCAGTGTTCTGCGGCTTGGTAATACTATATGTCTGCAGCATGTGTTTGTATTCTGAGTGCATATGAATGCTTTAAATGTCAATCTATTTTAATAAATGATAAACACTACGAGAGATCCCTTGTTTTATCTTGACATGATTCGGTTTGCACTATGAATCCCTCTGGACACATTGGATGAGTGAAGTGAACCTTAACGGGGTGGAATACTTTCACAGAGAGCGTGGAGGAGTGGAGGCTTTTTGGCATTTTTTTGGAGCACATCGGGTGGTAGAAAGCGTGTATTGACTTTCTTGTTTAAACAAGGGGTTGCATACCATCTAGTGAATGCGGTGTGTGGTGGAGAGTTACGCAGGTGCATGGGGTGATTTGCTTATAGAAGGTGGATTCACAACAAAAAATGTGTTATTTAATCCATGAATTTTATTTTGATGGGAAGAGCACAAGAGCACATTTAAATTTGCTTTGGACTATTTTTGTTTGGATTACACATGCTTCATATATGATTTATTAGAGCTATTTTATCTCATATGTTTTTAGTATGTACACAGAAACTGCCCTACTAAAACTCACTAATGACCTACTAACTGCTATAACCAACGGCCATTACTCCATACTCATACTCCTTGACCTTTCTGTTGCCTTTGACACAGTCGACCACCCGCTCCTCTTCAGTAAACTCACCTAGATCGGCCTCCGTGACTCTGCTCTCTCCTGGTTCTCCTCTTACTTTTCTCAGCGCACTTTCAGTGTCACATACAATTCCTCCTCCTCCGCTCCTCTTCCGCTTTCTGTTGGGGTACCCCAAGGTTCTGTCCTTGGGCCCCTCCTTTTCTCTCTTTATACCTCCTCCCTGGCCCAACTGATAACCTCCCATGGCTTCCAATACCATCTCTATGCTGATGACACCCAAATCTATCTCTCCGCTCCCCAGCTCACCCCCACAATCTCCTCACATATCACAAATCTACTAAGAAACAAATCAGCATGGATGTCACATCACTACCTTAAACTCAATCTTTCCAAAAACCGAGCTTGTAATATTTCCTCCTCCCCGGTCCCCCACTCACAACTTTACCATTAAGATCAACAGCACAACCATTGGTCCTTCCCCTCATGCCAGGGTGCTAGGCGTAATCCTAGACTCTGACCTCTCCTTTGGGCCCCACATCCAATCACTGGCTAAATCCTGCCGCCTCAACCTCCGGAACATTTCCAAAATCAGCCCCTTTCTGACCAATGACACCACAAACCAACTTATCCACGCCTTGGTTATATCCCACCTTGATTACTGCAACTCCCTCCACACTGGACTACTGTTACACAGGTTACCACCTTACCAACTGCTGCCCCTCTCTGCCAATCCCTTCAATGGCTTCCACTAACCCAACGTATAAAATTCAAAATACTAACCACAGCTTACAAAGCCATCCACAACACTGCCCCTAGCTACATTGCCAACCTCATCCGCAGATACCGCCCAAATCGCCCACTCCGCTCCTCCCAAGATATCTTCCTCTCTAGCTCCCTCATCACCTCCTCCCATGCTCGCCTCCAGGACTTCTCCAGAGCCTCTCCTATCCTGTGGAACTCCCTAGCAGCAGCATGTCTGGTCAGCCCCCACCCTGTCTGCCTTTAGGCGATCCTTGAAAACTCACTTCTTCAGGGAAACATACCCCACCTCCACCTAAGAACTGTACTTGAATCACCTCCATCAGATCATCCCCCGCAGCTATCACCTTTTGTATCACCTCCCCCTTCCTTTACATTGTAAGCTCCACGAGCAGGGCCCTCACATGTACTGAAATGTATTGTAATTGCACTGCCTCCCTTATATTGTAAAGCGCTGCACAAACTGTTGGCGCTATATAAATCCTGTATAATAATAATAATAGTACACTGTTAGTATAGTTAGAGAGCCAGAATTAATAATAATAACAGTCATTTTTGTTAACTGCTTGCTTAGTATATGCCCTGATTAGGATGGCCTGTTATGCATACTATTAACCACTTGCCTACCAGGCACTTATACCCCCTTCCTTACCAGGCCAATTTTCAGCTTTCAGCACTGCCACACTTTGATTGACAATTGCGCGGTCATGCAACATTGTACCCATATGAAATTTTGATCATTTTTTTCTCACAAATAGAGCTTTACTGGGCGCTTTACTTTTTGCGCTATAAATACAAAAAGTGCAAAAAATTTGAAAAAAAAAAAAAAAAAAAAAAAGTTTGTTTCTATTATAAAATTTTTCAAACAGGTAATTTTTCTCCTTCACTGATGTGCGTTGATGAGGCAGCACTGATGGGCACTGATAGGCGGCACTGATGGGCACTGATAGGCAGCACTAAAGGGCACTGATAGGCAGTACTAATGAGGTGGCACGGATAGGCGGCACTGATAGACAGCACTAATGAGGTGTCACGGATAGGCGGCACTAATATGCAGCACTGATAGGCGGCACTGATAGGTGACACTGATGATGGGTACTGATAGACGGCACTGACTGGCATCACTGCTGGGCACTGACTGGCTGCACTGACTGGCACAACCCCTGGGCACTGACTGGTGGCACTGACTGGCAGCACTGGTGGGTGGCACTGGTGGGTGGCACTGGTGGGTGGGCACAGGTGGGTGGGCACAGGTGGGCACAGGTGGCTGGGCACAGGTGGGTGGCACTTCTGGGCACAGGTGTGTGACACTGCAGAGTGGCACAGGTGGGTGCACTGCTGGGCACAGGTGGGTGCACTGCTGGGCACAGGTGGGTGATCTGCTGGGCACAGGTGGGCGGAGCTAGTGGGCACACTGCTGGGCAGAGGTGGGCGGAGCTTGCGGGTGGCACTGCTGGGCACCGATCATCAGGGCACTGATCATCAGTGCCCTGATGATCGGTGCCGATCCCCGCTCTGACAACTGCCGGTTATCGGCAGTACTTTCCTCGCGATCTGATAGCGTGAGGAAAGTGCAGCCGAGAACCGGCACTTGCATTTTCCTCTGATCAGCGTGTCATTGGACACCGCTGATCACGTGGTAAAAGGCCGCTGTGATTGGCCTTTTACCACATCACGTGATCAGCTGTGTCCGTAGGACACAGCGATCACAGAGATCGCCGGGTGCGCGCCCCGTGGGGCGCGCAGGAGAGCGCGTTCTGGGAGGATGTCATATGACGTCCACCCAGAACTGGCCAGCCGCAGTGTAGCCGTCATTCGGCTATCTGCGGTCGGCAGGTATATGAATTATATTCTTCTGTATTACATCTCACAATCTCATAAGTGTTTGTTATCTTCCTGTATTGGTTGTTGGGGAAATACTGTTTCTAGTTGATTTCTGATCTGTATGGATATGTTTTCTGAAAAAACTAGAATATTTAATTGCAGTTTCATGGAAAGTCTGCTTTAATATCAGCATACACTAATTACTGTATATTCCAGTTACATACAGTATATACCATATTTTTCAATTACAGCTCAAAATGTTCCTTTTCTATTATGTAGGTTGTATGAAATATTTCATATGTAATGAATGCAAAACATTAATTGTAAAATGTATTTCTCTAATTTTGTACTTTTTTTAATATAATTGCTTTGAAAAGAAGTAAAAAGTGTAAGAAGAGAACAGTTAGATAGGTTAATGAGAGACCATTTTATACAACAATTAAAGTTAACTTTTGATATGAATGGATGAATAGAGGATTATGCTGGAAAAATGTACCTTCAAGTAGTACCCTTCTTTGCAGTAAATTGAAAATGTATTAGAATATTTTTCAAAGCTGCATATTGTAAATTTTGTAGTGCTCACATCCCCTGTACCAAAGCACAAATTACCTTGAAATCTCCATGTCCTTCATAACCGATTTAGCATTGCCTCTATAGAGACCACTCTTCCCCAACTCAGTGCCCCAGAATTTTCCATTTCTTACCTGGAAATACCTCTTTACCCATCTAATCACAGTAGTCTGTCCCTAGATTTGTCACTATCTCTCATCCCTGAATTAGCAGTGCCACCAATAAATTGCGAGAACAGGACTCAAAGCTTGCTTTGCCAAATAAATATCCCCCATATAATAATAACTATGCAAATTATTTTTTTTTTTTTTTTTTTCATTTTAAGTTTATTTTTTTTGTATGGGCAGGACTTGCTAAGGCTGGAGAGTCAACAGTCTAAAACAGGGTTTCTCAGCCAGGGTTGCATGGAACCCTAGGGTTCCTCCAGAGTTTGCTAGAGGTTCCTTGGGCAATGAGCATTTTCTGCCTCTTAGATAAGTTCCCGCTGACACCCTTGATCATTTTAGTCATCTATAAGGGGGTCATGACCACAAGTGCAAGGAATATTCTTCTCACTGACCATCACATCATGAATTATAGATGGATTGATTTTAACAGGGGTTCTCTGACGGTTCCTCTGTGTTGAAACAGTTGAGAAAGGCTGGTTTAAAGTCTTAATGTATTGTGGTTGGTTTTGTATGATGCTGATGAAACAAGCAATAACCATCCTGACCGCATACTATAACCACTTATATATATATATATATTTGACTTTTTGCTATAAAAACACAGCCAATAAAAAAAACAAACTCCAAAAAAAAAATCTTCATAAATTTAGGGCAAAATGTATTTTGCTACGTCTTAGCTAAGAAATCCCAATAATATTAATTGGTGTACGTGAAAGTTATAGTGTCTACAAATGACGGTATATATATATATATATATATATATATACTGGAAACCAAAAGTGAAAAATGCACCCAACAAGGGTTCGGCCCGACCAGAGAAAAAAAGCCTGTGGAAAAACCATGTGGGAAGCAGGAAAGAAGGATCATCACCGGATTCACAACAGAAGGTCACCCCAGAAAATCATCAGGCAGGCGGATCGGTTGACCGAGGAAGACGTGGACGTTGTGGGGTGCGTGAGGGTCTCTTCCGGCCTCCGTGAACTGGAGTCCAGATCCTGTTGGGGATGGCGGAAGGACGTGATGGAGTAGATGGCAATGAGGACACATCATCTGACAAAGGTGGAAGTCCCAGCTGTTTTAGGAGAGTCTGCCTCTGGAAGATCATGGAGAACAGCTTGAGTATTGTCCCTAGATATGACTAGCTTAAAGGGGAACCCCCACCGATACGGGACACGGTGTTGCTGAAGGTGTGTGGTGATCAGCTTCAGAGCTTGCCGTTTGGCCAGGGTAATCGGGGACAGGTCGCAGAAGAGTTGGAGTCTGTCACCTTTAAATTCCAGAGAGGATTTATGGCGAACTGCTGTTAGTAAGGCTTCTTTGCTTTGAAAGAAATGGAAGCGATCTATGACGTTGTGTGGTCTGGTGCCTTCAACAGGCTTCGGGCCCAAAGAGCGATGAGACCTATCTATTCGCCAATCAGCCTCTGGAACCATGGGAGCAGTTGCGATGAAGAAGGACAGCAGGTGATGGTGCAATTGAGCGTCAGCATTAGATTTGGACATACCGCGGATACGGATATTTTGGCGCCGTTCTCTGTTTTCCAAGTCCTCTTGTTGGAGCTGCATTTGGGATATGGAGTGCTTCAGATATGCGTTGTCTTCCTCCAAAACATGAACGTACTGCACCAATTCATCAAACTTATTTTCCAATCGATCCGTGCGGTCTCCAATCTGAGCTATTTCCCCCCTGAGATCCAAGGCCAATTTTCCAACTTCAGCAGAAATGGATGCGGTGATATTGCATAAAAATATTTGCAATTTATCATCCAATGCTGCAAGTGTGAGAGAAGATGATGATGCAGCCTGCTAGGAAATCTGGGTAGAGGGTTGCTGAATCCCTGCTGCTTTGTGATCCAAGGCCCCTCCAGTTATATTCTGGGGGTCAGAATCCTCCATCTGGGGATGGATCAGGGCAGAGGCTGCAGGTGTGACATGTTGCAGGGAGGTGCAGTACTGTCTGTGGCCACTGGGGGTCTGGGATCGCTCCCCGGGCTCCTGTTATCACTAGAGGCCGGGGATTGCGGCCTTGAGAGAAACTGCTGGAGTGGTGAGGGCCGCGGATCCTGCGGCTGCGGGTAGGGGGCTTCCAGCGCCCTAAAATCCCCATGAGAGCCTTTCCCTGGTGCCAGGCCGGGTGCCGAAGGAGTGGGACTCACCCGGAGCGGAGAGAGAGAGCAGAGACATGTGACGGGTGAGTCCGTGCTGGCCGGGGTTGAGCGGAGCTTAGCAATTAGGCGACTGCCATCGTCCCTGGTCGCACATGCGCCCCCTTTGGATGCCTTTCTGAATGCAGTTTAGTACATGACCTTCTATGAGATCAGCTGTACTGGAAATATACATCATAAGAAATTACTGAAAAATTATTAAAATCCAACGTGGTACAAAACACATCTATGAAATAATAAGGCTGCTACTGGATGGTTTGCTCTTGCATAAACCATACAGATTTTTTAGAAGTATTTCTCCCAAAAATATAGCAAATAACAGTACAGGCAGAAAAATGCTGTGGCATTGTTAAAGTTTAACTAAAGGGTAAACTTTTTTTCTTTAGCATTATTTCAAGTGGAGAGGGATTATAACATATGTTAGGTTTTTATTGCTGTCTGTTTCCCCATTAAGGAAATGCATTTTCTCTATCTGTCTTAATGACCATTATCATCAAAACTGAAAGTAAAATGCCACATTTTGAGTGGTCGCCAGTAAATGAATAGAGAGTAAATCTTCCAGTGGGAGCACTAGTTCTTCCAGAATTTCCATCAGTTTGGAGGGATTTCCTCTCACTTCCTCTTATGGCTTCGGGACATGAAATGAAGGGAAATCTCCTCAATGGGACACAGTTGACAAAAAGAAAACCTAACAAAGGTTATAACCCTCTCCAGCACTCTCCTAAAAAAAAAACCCTGTTCTTTAATGAGAGACATATTTTATTTCTTCTACACGAGGAATTGTGTATTTTGGGAATAGTACCCAAGTGTTGGTGCTCAACATTTTACTTGTTAGTGGAAAAGCCCTTTTGTGCAGAACGCACTTCTAAATAAAAAAAAATTGAAGAAAATGGTCAGGAACACAGCTTGAGTTGGAACTGTAATTCTCAGAGTATTTTATTTTTATTTAGATTTTAAGGTGTTTAGAAGTGCCAGCTATGTTGTCAAAGGAAATAAAATCACTACTGTATCATTGCAGTATTAGGCACTGTTACAGATTTTATTCACGATTTCAAGAGTTAAAGTTGTGCTATCAAATAAGAAAAACAACAGTGATACAGCCAACATTGGTGCTGTGAGTCTCAGACACTCATCATTTTGTTTAGCTGTAAAGTTATCTAAGAGTGTCAATTGCAAAAGTAAAAAAAAAAAAAAATAAGATAGTGAGACAGCTCGCTATTTGAATAATATGCGAAATCCAGATATTTTGGCTAATAATGTAATTATAGATGCTTATGCAGATTTCAGAATGTCATTTACACTTTTGAAAATTGAAATGACACTAAGAGCACTTAGAGCAGTAAAGCTGATATCCTCATTCAGCTTTCCTACACTGCCACTGATGCCTATACATTAGTCTAAGTCAGAGATGCTGATGCAAATTTCTAAATGGCAATTGTTTAAAGCTGTAAAGCAGCAGTCTTTCTTCAAGTATCGTACACTATAGCAGTAAGATTAAGTATCATTTGTTCCAGCTTCCACTACCCTCTCGAATTCTTCTTCCCAGACCTCGACAAATGAAATGGTAGCCTGCACCTGTGTTCTGAGGTTTTTGATAGTGCCCATGCACTTCACAACTTGCTAATAGGCTGATGCTGACATCAGGAAAGCCTTTTTTCTAATGAAGGGGGATTGCTGAAGATAATTGGGAGTCTTCCAATGTCACAACAAATGCGCAAATAGCAGCAAAATGGTATCAGTACCACATATCACTCACTATCTTTTAGCATCCACCTTGTGCAAAATGTCCCACTGTGAATTTCATCATCATTTCCTAATAACAGTTTCTCCCATCCCCAGCTCAGTATCTCTAGATTACTGAGACAACAGTTT